TCATACAAACAACCGAGCTAACTGCATTGATTTATGTCTCACGAGTCTTGAGTAACAGTAGCCGGTTAAAACCTCTCCAATTGATTGATAAATGTTTTAATTCACTGAAAAGAACCAGCTCATAAGAATAATTTGTTCGGGAATTTGGTTACTCTGGTCGCGCTGTATGTTCCATACACTGAAAAGAGCCGGCTCATCTGAATCATTTGTTCGAGAATCGGACTGCATTATTGGCGCCCTATGTTATGGAGTTAACTAAAATGAACCGACTCATAAGAGTCATTCGTTTCGGAGTCGGACTACACTAGTCGCGCTTGTGTGTTCGCGCTGGAGATTCAGTGCAGGAAACACTGTGTGTTGTTGCTGTAGAAAGAATACACGTTTGAGAACCCTAAAATTAACTCGAAAGTCGTTCGGTTCTGGTGCTTTTAAAACAAAACCGGTTCTCACCCTAGCCAGAACTAAGCAAACGTTGGAGCTCTGTGCATTGTTTTTCATTTTATTTTATTTATTTATTTTGCGTTGAAATGAACTTTCCACTCTCTTACCCTTCGAAATGAGTTTGTCAATATCACTGTCCATTCCCTGGAAGTAGCATTTCCTCCAAAGTCCAGAGTATGTGGAGAAAAGCGGGCGCCCGCACTCCGTCTCCAAAATGCCCATGCCCAAAATCGCTCTCCAGTTTTCCAACAATTCCTCCTCTCGACTCCCTACATGGATGGGCTTCATGAGAGCCAGGTTGCGCTTCGCATTCCCACTGTCCACCAAAGGCAGGTGATAGATGGGCATCTCCCTGTTCTTCTGGTCGTTGGACTCCGACCCGTATTGGTCGCAGTTCTCCTTGTGTCTCCTGGTGTCGGTTTCGTACCAGTGGTCGGTAAAGATCGCCGTGGCCAGCAGCGTGAGCGCGAGCAGGCTCATGGACAAGCTGATCGCCGTTACAAGAGACCGTTTCTCCATGTCTCCAACATCCGCGCAACTCACTCAGTCATCTCTCACATGAAGCGTAGTTTCTTCGCCGTTTCCAGGGACAATGCACGGCTTCGAGCAGCGATCTGTCATTACAGGTGGATGAGCGGAGTGGGTCTGCGCGTGCGGTAGTGTGGGCATCTATCGGGGATGCGCGATGGCCGTGCGTGTGTGTTTACCTGCATTCCGCTCCGCGTTTGTGCATCTTCCTTTATCCGCATTAGCCCCTTGTCCTTCTTTCCTTTTTTCCTGAGAAGGAATGTGCATCCACGTAGTACAAGATTTCACCGTGCAACTGAACGCGCGTGTGGGAATGTCAAGGTTGTCGCGCATACTGTGCCAACAATAGCTAAGGGTGTGTCAAGGAGACAGGCGAGGCGGTTTCCTGCGAGTGCGCGACTAAACTGTTATGATGGTGATGATGATGATGACTACAGTTTGACCAGCCAAACATCAATGCAGCAGCAGAACATTATGCAAAGGGCGAAAACAACTCAGACTGCAAAATCTTCTGAAGAAATGCTTAGTATATTTTAGTAGCAAACACAAAGGTATTTATGGGTCAGTTATGTCTGTTATGATAAAAATTAAATATTTTAAAATAAACTTTAAACCACATGTGCCATGTAGAAAATCAGCATTTGTGTGCATGTTGGTTTCACATACACTGTAAGATCAAACAGTGAATAACTTTGATAAAGGAAATGGGTTGTAACAAAGACTAGAATAAAGGGACTTTGGTTGTAATTACTCAAAAATACTATTAATTAACCTTTAATTTTCTGCGTAATTAGTACAAAAAATATAATTTTAAGTTTACAGCACTCAAATGCTTTCATTTGTTTTTATCATTCAATAGTTTTAGTACAATCACGTCTGACGTCACGCACGTGTTTACGTGCTCCTCCTTTATGGAAGGCCATACACGTAACGTCTAAAGAAATATGTCTTTATGGCCTTCCATACTCCTTCAACTAGCCGTTGCAACTTCGCGAAAAAACGCCATGTTTTGGCCGCTTGTCTGACTATTAAAATTTGTTGAGATAAATTTGTGCGCGCTAATCTGGTAAATTCCCTGTTTTATTTTCTCTAAATGTATTTAGTGTCTTAGCAGTTAATGTGTTTTATGCATTTGCAAAGCAAATAATGATTTGAGCTATATAAATATAAATTGTCTGTTAACCTGTTTTTTTTCCCCAGAATGTGTATAGTTAGCAATTTAGTTACTTAATAACGTAAATGTAAAAACTTACAAAAATAAATAAGGTCAGCAATTTGTTACTGAGAAATTAAAACTATAATGTTTTTATGAAAGTAAACTAAAGTGTAATGTAACAAAAATGTTTAAGTTATCTTTATTTAATTTTAATTGGTTCTGTGAACACAAAAACTCCTTGTAAAATGACTTGACCAATAATGTTACTGTAACTTGTAAGATTAAGTTAGTATCATCCGTTAAAATGACCTAGTAACAGTTACTTAAAAAGGATGTTTCTTTAACTCATAAAATTGAGTTAATGTCACTCAAAATTTTCGGTGTAATCAGTTTAAACTATTTTTGAGTTATATTAACTTATCCGGTTTTACAGTATACCTTTAAAAAACAATTTCTTCCCTTTATACAAAACGTTTTCTTTATTTACTTTTTACTTTTTAAAATGTAATGAAAAATATTTCCCTTGTACCTTGGGAGTATTCAGCTTTACTATTTTATTTAAGGTTTTTATATGGTTAAGCCATTAGACCTGAAAAAAAGCGACTTTTCATAACAAGGTCAAAATATATTCATATGCAAACATTTGTACATTTATATGCAGCTATGTGCATTAATGTCAGACCGATATATATGGATCAGGCTAAAATTTGGTAATTTTACATAATGTAGTGCACATTTTCTCTTTAAAAAATAAATACTATTTATCAAAATATGTTAAATAATAATAATATATATAATATATATTAAATAAAATATAAAATATTACACTGTAGTTAGAGCCGTATATCTATCTATCATCTATCTAAAACCAATTTTAATTTTTAAATAAATATTAAAAAACTGATAACGAGTTGAGTAGAAAAATGGTGTATAAAATATAGAGATGAACTCAAAATGAATGGTCATTGCATAAAAACCTGAACAATTGATTGGAAACACATCTAGAACAGCCAGGAAATAATACTTCTCTAAGCTAGACAGGCCAACAGTATGTGCGTTGGTTGTTTGATAACTGCCGTCATGCTGAGACCTTGATCTGTGCCAGTGCATGCTTTAATAATCAGTCAATAAATTGCATCCTGGATGTGTGCCTGGCATTTGAGAAATAAATTAGACTGAATAGTCCTGGCTCATAAAACCTTCATAACAACCACATGGTGTAAGTACAAATGTGTTTGGAAGCTCACTCTTGGCACACACTCCTCTGTGATTCGGAAATAAATAGCGCTGAATCACAATCCTGTCTGAGCTGCAAGAGATGAAGATGGAGGAAGAAGTATGAGACTGTTTTGTAAGTCACAACCACATGGAGAATCCTGACAACTGTTAATTTGTCAACTGTCTGTGATTTGTCACATATTTGGAGAGATATATGTGAGAAAACAGACCTCAAACTGCCTTGTGTAACTCCTAAAATGAAGAAAATTTATGTAGAAAATCACAACCCATCACTGTTATCATTACAAACAAACCAGAAAATAACAGTAAAAAAAAAGAAAAGAAAGTAAAACCAGTGATCTAACAGTGAAGGAACATTTCTGTACATAATCGCATTGGAAATCACACTGGAAATAGGAAGGGAATGTTTTTAAGGTAATCTTAGGTAATTTTAAGGCATAATCAATTGCCTCCTGCTTTAATTTTTGCCTGCACTATTGAGCATGTTTCAAATAAATCAATCAATCAATTCTAAAAAAATATTCAAATCTATTCTCTGTTGAATTCCTGGTTTCTCTTTTTGGTGGCCTACAGTAGACCTCACTTTTCATGAGTTTTCACTTTTCTGTGAAGTCATGAGCTGAACTTCTTGCATGAAACGTTAGTCATAGTCAGTGACAGAGCTAAACTTCTGCTTTTTATGTGATATGTTAAATGAAGTCAAACTAAAACATTGTTATAAATTATTTGAAATAGGCTACAAATTATATATTTATATAGTCAATCAATAGAGTATCTTTTTTAATTAAAAGTTCACTCAGCACTGTAGGTCTAATATTAAAATTGATATATCAAATCAAGACAAAGTATCAAACCAATGTCACTCACCATATTCAAACTTAGAACAGGAGAATGAATTAAGGAAAATGCTATTCTAATAGACTGTAAGAGTATTTCAGACACGATTTGTGTAAAATATTCATCAGAAGCAGGTTATCTGCTGGTGCGCCTCTGGTCATCTGCTCCTCCTCTCTTCATCCTCCCATTCCAGGCATTCTCCACTCTACGAGCGCAGCGCATGCGCACTGGAGCTCACGGGAAGCCATGTTAAAGTTACAGTCAAGTACTGAGACTGAGATTCCCTTCTGACGCCGTATGTTTATTTTTTTCGGGTTTTCTCCTTTTGTCCGTGTCAGGGCTCCCAGCAAATCTATCACTGATAGTCAGAGACCGGAGTCCCCACGATGAACTCTAGTTTCGATCTATCCAGGCGAAATCCGCAATGTGATATGTTAAATGAAGTCAAACTAAAACATTGTTATAAATTATTTGAAATAGGCTACAAATTATATATTTATATAGTCAATCAATAGAGTATCTTTTTTAATTAAAAGTTCACTCAGCACTGTAGGTCTAATATTAAAATTGATATATCAAATCAAGACAAAGTATCAAACCAATGTCACTCACCATATTCAAACTTAGAACAGGAGAATGAATTAAGGAAAATGCTATTCTAATAGACTGTAAGAGTATTTCAGACACGATTTGTGTAAAATATTCATCAGAAGCAGGTTATCTGCTGGTGCGCCTCTGGTCATCTGCTCCTCCTCTCTTCATCCTCCCATTCCAGGCATTCTCCACTCTACGAGCGCAGCGCATGCGCACTGGAGCTCACGGGAAGCCATGTTAAAGTTACAGTCAAGTACTGAGACTGAGATTCCCTTCTGACGCCGTATGTTTATTTTTTTCGGGTTTTCTCCTTTTGTCCGTGTCAGGGCTCCCAGCAAATCTATCACTGATAGTCAGAGACCGGAGTCCCCACGATGAACTCTAGTTTCGATCTATCCAGGCGAAATCCGCAAGAGGATTTCGAGCTTATCCAGAGGATAGGCAGCGGGACCTACGGAGATGTTTACAAGGTAAAAATGTGTTTTCTACAAACAAGGCCCATATTTTGGACAGTTCAGTCCATATTTAATGGGCCCGATCTATATAATAAAACCCAGAGTAAGGCATATGCGATTTAAAATGTTCTAGATCTGCAGGCATAAAGAGATTGTACTTCTCCGAACTGGACTGGGACACTGATCACTTAAAGGTGCACTCAGTAATTTTTTTTTGCGAATTCTTAATTATTATTATTTTTTAGTCAACGAATTGAATAGCACTGTGAAGAAATATAATTAAAATGATGTACATTCATATAATATGAAGACTAAAGACCAATCAGTCTTCTTGTAAAAGCTGTATTATTCTAGATGGAGTGGGTCCCTCATGGGCACCGCCATGTTGACATCACATGACCGGAACTGTCATGCATTTTTTGGAGTTACTACTACAAATTAAAAACAACAATAATGTATTTACTTTATATAGTGCTTTAGGAATTGCTGAGTGGAAAATAAAATCTACAGACAAACAGGCCAAAATACCAATGCAGTTTGATGTATCAACACTGCACAAAAAAAAAAAAATCATCCAAGAATGTCCAATATGTGTCTAATATGAAACGGAGAAAAACGTAGATGAAAAGGAACAAACAAAAGCTAAACAAGAATGACTAGTTAGTGAACAAATTTCATTCAGGCCAATGGGTGTCAGTATAAAGCACCTAATTTACTGCTACAATCGAGACAAATAAGAACAAAAACATAGACTGCATCTGAAATATGTATAGCCTCCTAATAAGTAGACAAAAAGCAGTATGTCCGAATTCATAGTATTCATAAAACATTAGGTGGAAAGTTCTCGGGTTTTGTCCTATGTGAATTTTAGTGAAGTGACGCAACTGACAGCGTAAGTCACATGACAGTGACAATATGGTGGATGTAGTATGTCCAGATTTCCTTCATACTACATATAGAACATACATTTTAACGTTATTTTTAACGTAGTATCTTGCCAGATATTATGCGATTTCGGGCACAGCTTTATTGAGTGCACCTTTAGCCCAAACCATTTGAACTTTTGCCCCTCTTAAACAGACTGTTAATCCAAGTATAAATGTGCATTCAACATTTACTGACCGTCATTTTGTTCTACAACTGTGTGGCTTTCTTTATTCTTTAAAACAGAAAAGGAGACATTAAGCAGAATGAGAGTCTCAGTCATCATTCTTTTTTGTTATATCTTTTTTCCAAACAATGAAAATGAATGGTGACTGAGGCTTTCAATCTTCATTAACAAATGATGACAGAATTTTCAATTTTGTATGAATCAAAACACTGATTTCACATGATTTCATGTCAACTTTATTCCCAACACTTCAGAATGAGTATGACTGAATAACATTATTGTGTGGTTTTGTTTCAGTGGCACTCCCATGAGTTGTTGCAAAATTGTGCAAGACATGACCAATATTTGAGGAAGGCCTTATCACTGCTTAAGTCTGTGGTTGTCATTGAAACTAACCCAAGCACTTCAGAAAGATCAGTTTGGTGACAGCTGGCCAGTTGGTCAGTGATGCTGTTGTCCAGAGCGTTTAACTTGAAAGATGTTACAAGTGGTGTGAAATGTGCTGGATTATCTGCGACTTTATCCGCGTGAGGCTAAAGCAGTAGGTCAGTGTCACCCTGCAAGACTTTCTTTCACCTGTCAGTCAACGGTTGCACATGGCCAACTTTTTATGTTTTAAGACCTAATGAATGGTATTTAGTCTGCACTTTTCACATTTTCAAGCACAGCATGTAGACTTCATTTGATAGAAGAATAACAGTGTTTCATCTGACAGAGCGTGTTGTTGGATTATGTAAAAGATAAGTAAGTTCTGTTTATGCTGATTGGAAGGATTTTAGATAACAGATAATGGATTATGTTGGCTACTGTCTGGTTTAACAGTATTGAGTGCAGTTTAGCTACACAGTTATTTACAGTCCTTGGCTGTTTTTCTTTGATAAGCAACTGTAATCTAGAAGGAAACCGAATATTGTAGATTGCAGGAGAGGGTAATTGAGAAACCCATATTGATTGACCACTATTCTGAATATTGGTGGGTGTGTGGGCTCTTCAGTGTCTGCGGTGGTCTACTGTAATTAATGTTTTTTTATTGAGTCAATCATGCAGTACTTCATGTCTAGAAAGTTGTGATCAGAATTTGTGTGGTAATTCTTTTTAGGATGTTTGCAACAGATTTTAATGAACTATTAATTGATTGGCTGTTTCATTGGTGCATTTAGTGGCATAGGAGTGCATGTGTATAATATGTATGTAAATAAATGTCAACTTTTATTAGACTTCAGATAATGATGGTGATAAAAGATGATAATTTACCATATAATGTGCAGATGTTTAAGGCTTCTGATAAAGTTTGGAAATTCTGCTCATGAACAATCATGAACAATCTAAATGCACAAATGAACAATCTAAATTATTGATGTTATTGTGAACAATTCATCATGTTTCTCTCTCTCCCTTTCTCTCTTTTTTGTTTTTGAAACTCATAATTCTTAATCAAAATGTCATAACTTGATCTTCCAATGAAAACGACAGACTTCTTTCCAATGATGTTTGCCAGACGTTATCAGTCATTTTAGTTGCTCAACTTTAAAGGGATACTTCACCCAAAAATGGAAATTCTGTCATCATTTATTCACCCATTCATTCCAAACATGTACGACTTTCTTTCTTCTGTGGATTTTCATTCTTCTGTGGAAGTGGAACACACGCACAAAATGTTTTTTGAGGAATATTTTAAACTATTTTTAGTCAGTTGGCTGCAAAGCAACATTGGAGACCCCACTGACTGTCACTGTACGGACAAAAAAATAAACACAAATACATTTTCAATATCCTTTTGTGTTTCGAGAAGAAATGAAGTCATATAGGTTTCCAATGACATGAGGGTGAATAAATGATGAATAAATGAGAATTTTTTGGGGGGTGAACTATCCCTTTTTACACAAACCTATTTAATTCAAAGTAGACATTAGCTTTAGAGTTGAATACCACATCGTTTCAACAGGTGTTTCTCCAGGTTTGTTTGTCTACTGGGTCTGCTTGTTTTTCTTAACAGTCTGAAGTGATTTTAAAGGACCTGAAAGCATACAGAGATGTAAAGTATTGATTGAGCAAAGAAAGTAAATATTGAATAAAAAGCCTGCTGCATCATGGGTAAGGATATGACTAATTACCCAGTGTGATCACTTTAAATTGGATTTCTGTCAAGCCTTGGTGGGGCTATTTTGATAGTTCTGTGGCCTGCCTGCTTTCGAGTGGTTTTGTATTGATTCCATTTTTATGTCTACGGTCTGAGGAATCGCCAGTGAGCAACAGAAAGATGTGTATGCGTGAGGATGAAAGCAAGAGTGAGAACCTCATCGGTAAAAGAATGAATGCAAGTCTAAACTGTGGCATGAGGTGTAATGCATTGTGATTGAGTTGAGGCAGAATTGATTGCTTCTCTTTCAGAAGGTTGCTGTGGAAAGACGATTATGTAAGCAAATCTCTCGCACGGCACTGCGTGTTTGTGACTTCTAATGTGTTTTTCCTGGCCTCCTTTTAGAGACACTGATTTCTTTCTCTCGTTGGAAGTTTGGCTTCTCACTGCATGAGTTTGCCAGGTCAGGCTAAACAGTAGTTGTGACTCTCTGCTGGGCTAAATGCAGGTTGATTTCAGTCCAGACACTAAATGCATTGGCTAGAACAAAAAGGAGATGTTAGTTCTTGTCAGCAGAACAAAATCTGTTTATTTCTGGCCCGAGAGGTTTGATTTCACTTGCGTTTTGAAGAATGAACAACTCTAACATTGTTGCGTGTACATCATTTGATGAAGTCAAGTCATATTAGCTTACAGTTTTCCTTCTCAGATATCTTGAAGTGAGATTTCTTGTCTTCATTCAAGAAACATCCGTCCCAGGCCTTGGGTTGACCTGACTGGAGGCTTTTATTGTGGATTGAAGTCGCAGTTCTTCTTTTATTCGGTTAATCTCTGTCCTCCTTCACAACCAGGAAGTTTTGTGTTGCCCATAAAGACAAAAACCAGTCATCCTGTCAATCCTGATTGCAATAGTCACCTTCAGTCACACAGATTACACAGGAAGATGGTTCTCCAAGTGGCCTGCGTTGTGCATTTGTGAAAACATTCTGACAGGATGAAATTCAAGACGATAGAGTTTCTGTGATATGTGTGCCCTATGTGCGTAGACCCGCTGTGCAGCTGATGCGAGGGCATTTCTGATTTGACTTTGTCGGGAAAAAATGATCATTAATTATTCACCTGTTTCAAAAGCTGGGCACTGCTCCATCCTGTAATACTATCATGCTTCAGAGATTGGTATCGGCCAGTTTAGGGACATACTCACAATCCCTGACTTTCAATAGTCCTGACTATTTAAATATACTCCGATAAATAAGATATATCTAGAATTAACTGGAACAATCAGATCTAATATTGATTTATCGCATGGAAATGAATTGAACCATGTAGGCTATCAGTATACCTAAATCGAACAATTCTTTTATTTACCTTGCTGATACTGTAGATTCATTCTCTCTTTCTGACATGTTGAGTCCTTTTTTTATAAGTAATAAAAAATAAATATTTTCTATTTTAATATATAGCCTAATAATTCCTGTGATGACAAAGCTTCATTTTCAGCAGCCATTACTCCAGTCTTTAGTGTCATCTGATCCTTCAGAAATTATTTTGGTTTGGTGCACAAGAAGCATTTCTTCTTATCATCAGTGTTGAAAACATTTTTTTGTGCAAGCATGATACATTTTTTATCCATCATTATTTGATGAATATAAAGTAGAAAGGACAGCCTTTATTTGAAATTGACATTTTTTGTGACAATTAATGTAAAAGTCTTTACTGTCACTTTTGCATAATTTAATGCAAAATTACAATTTCTTATTATATCCAAACTTTTAAATGGTAATGTATATAATTTTATTAATACCTATAATAATAAACAAAGAA